CATTACAATTCCACTCCGAGATCTAGAGATTAGCCGCCGGCATATCAAAGTTGCCGGTGCCGCCCATGAACCTAGAATTTGGTTTTCACTCATTTTGGTCAGATGCCAACCGTTCGCTTTTCTGCTTGACGCTGAAGCCGACCTCATCGCCGGGGTTCCAGTTGTTTGGGACCTTGAACGTCGTGTCCCACTCCTCCCTGCAAGAATACAATCGATTGGAAAAAGCACAGAAAACCGCGGATGACTAAAGTGGCTACCTGGCTCTTCCTTGCGTCGATAGGGCCGTGTTGATGGCCGGGGCGGTCGGGTCAAGCGAGGGGAAGATGAGCCTTAAAAAAATGGTTGCGAAGTGAGGTTGGGTCCGCATGGGATTTTAAGCCTATAGAAAAACACTTCACGGTACACAATGATCACTGACCTAGTGCCGAGCCCTGGTATCTCGCGCTCGGTGGCCCCGGTCCACCGTAACCTCGTGTGTCGTCCTTTCGGGATCCAAACCATTGGGGGGACAGGTCGCTCTTCGATTAGCTAAAGGAAAATTTTGCAAATGTCGATTGAATACTGCTAAATTCCCCGACCTGTTCAACCTGACGATCCAAACTGTTCAGTGTCTGTGTCTTGGCGCCGAGCATTCTCGGATGGATGCGACGGGCAGCGCCCGCATATTGCCCTTTTTGCTCCGGGGTCAGCATTTGTCTGAAGAGGAAAGCGTGAACCGGCGTAGGCTTAGCATAGGCATAAGCTTATGCTTATGCTTACCTTAGGTTTAGGTCTAGGCCTAGGCTTAGGCTTAGGCTTAGACTTAGGCTTAGCTTGGGTTTAGCTGAGGCTTAGCTTAGGCTTCGATTAGGCTTAGCACTGGCTTAGGCCTAGGCTAAAATCCATATCGACGTCCTGCTCGTCCCTTTAATGCGACGGTCCCGAAGGGATACTAGAAAACTCAGTTACCTTCCCCTCAGCTTCCGCTCCAAATCCGTGTGAAGGAAAAGCGGAGCGATATTCGGGTTATTGCGCAGATTCTCGATTGTTCGCGACCGTTCTTCGACAACTGGCTAAATACCTCATCTGCTAGAAGCCTCCGACAAAACCCACCTTGAACTGGATTTTTTCAGGGGATCTCCGAATTTCTCCCAAAGGCGTGAGGACCGAGTTATCGATCTCCGGCACTCCCACGAGGATCGGGATCATTTTTCGGGGTCTGAACGAGATACAGGATGCGTGAAAGTTTCTCGAAAAAGTGTACCTCTGCGGGATTTTGCGCGGGACCAAGAACCCGGGCTGCGGATGAGGGTTGATTATACGCGCTTTAGGCTGCAGCAGCTCGTCCACGTCATCAACGCGGATATTGAGATGCCTGTAAAGTGGAGCAGAGGATTATTTAGGGTTTTTCAAAATGCCGAAAATCATAATGTCGAATATTCAGAATTTTCACGACTCAGAAACTCACTCTAGGGCTGCAGCAATTTCAGGGTTCTCGGACAATCGATTCACGAATGCGCGCGGGAGTTTCAGCGGAGCTCGGCGTACCTTGAAAACTATCGTTAATACCTATGATACGAATAGTCCGGGTTACGCCTAGCCTAAGCGTAAGCCTAAGCATAAGCTTAGGCCTGAGCCTGAGCCTAAGTTGGAGCCTAAGCGTAACCTGACGCTTCGGGAAGCTGTCTATTCAACCTCAAATCTACCGTATTCTGTTCCTCCTCCTCTTCCTCCTCACTGCCTGTCATCATCTCATTGATACCGAGCGCCAGCGCCGACCGTGACCCAAATTCCTCCAGCAGATTTCGGCTATAATTGGCGTGCATTGTGTGCGTACGAGCCATTGCTTCAAATCCACACACACAAATAAATCTACACAATTTATTACTCGCTGACTAGACGATCGGAGAGAGATCGGCCCAACGGCTCCTCATCGGCCATCCGACGCGAGAATCGCCGCCGGTCAAGTGCCGAACGGATGTCTGGGTTCTAAAACGGAAAATAAAAATTCAGTTCTGGACTGTTAGCGGGGGGCGGGGATTTTACAGGGGGGAAAACCACCTTTGATTTTCGACCTATACCTGTTAATGTTATATTATGTATTTTATAGCGTCTTAGTGGTTTTTGATTACTAGAAAGTTAGCAAAAATATTTTGAAGCAATTTAAAATTCGAAATATCTGACTTTTTAGCCATTTTTAATACATTTGACCAAAAGTCAAAAGTTTCCGAAGATTTATTATTATTTTTATATTGTTTTTTATCTAAAAACTATGTAAAATGCCATAAAAATGATTTGTATTTTGCTAAAGGGTCGTAGAGAATCACAGGTGAAAATTTGGTTTGCCCCCTCCCCCGTTAACAGTCCAGAACCAGAAATTCAAAGGCAACAACCTCCAATAGCGCTGCTAATCGTGGGCTACTTCTGAGCCGTGCTTCCAGATCATCTGGCCCGCGACGAGGAGATGGCTCTTCCGATTCCACATCAAATCGCTGAGGTCTTCTTCTAACTGCTTGCGGAGCTTCACCTTCTTCTACCGCATTGGCGGCCTGAAACGGGGCAGCGTCGATTGATATTTAATTTGGTCTAGGTGTTTGTTGTCATTTTCTCGAAATTCCGTAATGCTACCTTGTTAAACGGGCTACCAAAATCCATAGCTCTCCCTTGTCATTCCCTTTAATATTTCCTACCAGTGCCTGTTGACGGATAATCTCGGGCATCGCCTGCATCTGCCGTCCACCGTTCGGCATCCGGAACGGATTCCGCCCTAAATTTTCACCGTCTTGTGTGCAAAGCTCACAAAACCTACCCGAGATAATGTTGGCGACAAGCCCGGGCAGGATTTGCTGTCGAAACTTGTCGAAAACGGCCTTGGCGATCTGCAAAAAATTTCGAGAACCTTGCCTGCATTACCTGCTCGCTGGGGTCGTTGTTTTCGATTTCCTTTTGGGTTTTCAATGCCTGTTCGACGCCTGAAAATGAATTTTTTTCGACTGAAAATTCGTACGTCTGGGTAATCCTACGTGTATCTTTAAAGCGGCTCTCGCAGCAGCACCTAAGCCTAAGCCTACGCCTAAGCCCAAGCCTGAGCTTAAGTATACCTTTAATCGACGATCCAATCGGTATCCCATTCTGATGGAGCATGTCGATGAAAGCGTTCCCGGTTTTTGGCTGCATCGCGGCGAGTTGTGCCGGAGATTACCTTATATTTTTGCTCAACTTCAATTACCTGTTGCATCACAGCGTCTGCCGCCAGGTCCTCGACTTTCATATTCTTGTATTTGTCGTACTAAAAATGGAATTAGACGGCAATTGCAAGACTAGCGAGTAAATCCCGAATACCGACACTTGAGGTATACTTTAAGCTGGGGTAAACGCCAAAATCCCGTTCAAAATCTTGACATTCAAAGTCTCGACAGCCAGAAACCCCAGATTTTAAAACGATTTATGGGTAAAACGACCGGAAATATCACGTTTTGGCTGTCGGGATTTTGGCTGGGATCCTTTAAACTGACCTGTTCGGGGTGAACCTTCTCGAGCACTTCGAGCTGTGTACGAAACGCTCCTTTGGCCATCTCCATTTGCCCTTTCTTGATCAAGGCATCGATGAAGCGGATGCCGATTGATTCGACGGCTTCCTAGACGAAGATTACCTGGAATTCCACCACCCACCTTCGACGGCATTATTCGCGCCAATTTTCGCGGGTCCCCCAGCGGGGTTACGGTAGACGTATCAGTCGCGTCTTGTGGTGCATGGTGATGGTGATGGTGTCGGCCAATGCTGAGTCTCACTAAAACTCGACAATTCACGAGTATTAGTGTGGTATTCCACTTACCAAGCAAGAAAAGTATGCACAAAAACAGCTGCATAAGATTACGGAAAAGGTGCCGAGAAGATTAGCGCCGGAGGTCGTCGACCTGGGAGGGCGCTAATTAAAGGGGGTTTGGGAGAACGGTGCTGCGGGTCAGCGGGCTAGGGAAAATCCGGATTTTGGAAAGACCGGTCCGGTCCCGAAGCGGAAGAAGGCTGTGCAAAACGGGGTTCATTTGTCAGTGTTCTTTGGTTGCTGTTTTTTTTCGTATTTTTGAGAGTTCGAGAAGGTATGATCATTTTTATTGGCATTAAATACATGTTTTGTATGTTTCTGTGAACCTCTCTCCCCCCCCCCCTCCCCTCTCTCGGTGTCTACTATCTCTCTCTCAATCTCGATCTTTCCTTAACGTTCTCTCTCTCGCGCTCTCTTTATCTCTCTCGCTCTCTCGCTCTCTCTCTCTCTCGTGCCAGCGTTCGAATCCCAGGTGTAATTTTGACTCCCCGAAATGACGACGTCAAGCAAGGCACGGCGGACTGGTGCGGTGAGTCGATGGAGCAGGAGAGCGAGAGGGAGGGAGGGAGGGAGAGGAGCAAGAGAGAGGGAGAAAGACCTGTCCACCTCCTTACCGACCCGCGCGACATCCCCATTGATTCGCGTCGAATGGTCAGTCCACATCCTCGCTCACCGTCTCCGCGCCTCCTCCCGTTATTTTTGAAGAAACCCAGTTGATTTTTGTGAAGGACTGTGTGCATAATTTTTCTTTCAGCTGGAATCGCATCAAAATGCTGATTTTAAGCACCTTCCTTAAATGTTGAAGTCAATCTTCCTTAAATTTTACTAAATACCAACACAATGCCATCGCGAGGTCAAACCTGTTTTGCGGCATTGAGCATGTGAAGAGTAATGCCTTTGCTTTGTTCCACTTCCCGTCCGTGCTTTCTCAATCTGTCCCTATCCCTCGCCGTAGCCAGAGTCTCACTCCATCTGCCGGAACCGGTCTACCAAAAGCTGTTTACGACAGTGCCCCCCCCCTGGCATTCGGGATTAGTCGTCGGCGAGTACTCTGGTTTTTCTATGCTTCTCCCTGCTTCCACCCAATTTTTTTTTGATGGATTTTACGTCGGTTATTGTCACCATCCCTTTAATTCAGCGCGAATTCGATGAGAGAATAGGTGAAGAAAAAGAAGAAACATCTAAAGTTGCAGGATGGCACAGTTTGGAAATTTAGCGTCAAAAAGCGGTAAGTAGGCTTAGGCTTAGGCTGGCTTAGGCTCAAGTTGGGCTTAAGCTTAGGGCCTAAGCTTAGCTTAGCCTTAGGCTGGCTTAGGCTTAGGTAGGGCTCAGGCTTAGGCTTGCGCTTAAGCATATGTTAGGTCCGTGCAACCTAAAACTTTAATTTAGGCCTCAGCTCTTGCCACCGATTCCTACGCAGCCTCCTCTGGCAAGAAGATGTTGACTATTCGCAGTTTGAGTCCAGGTACGGGACATTCGAGTCTGGACATTTCCAGAATTTCAGGTATCTAAAATTTTTTATAATTGCAGAATGGACGGGACGGATATTGTGACGTTCCGGGAGAATGACAAGGCTTTTCGGCTGTTTCGGACGAACGTGCATGTGAAGGTGGGTGATAGTGAATCTTGTTGGCGGAGTTTTAAAGGAACACGGGAGCCTCGGTTTAATCAAGAACAAAATGGCTTGCTCGTCGATCGACTTATCTTTTTACATCGACTTTGATCAAGATTGGCGGTTAACATTAATTTTCATGTTTCACATTTCAGGCGGGTGCCTACATCGCGTGTTTGATCGGCTTCCTCGTTACTGTATTCTACTGTGTCAGGTTCGGCTTATCAAAGGTCCTATAAACTGTACTTTATAGCTACACTTTCTACCACAGCCGCGGGATGGGCCGCAATCCATTCATTGACCACCTTGAGCTCGTTGACCTCATCTTCGCCTTTCTCGTGGGGCTCCCCTGTCACGTCGCCCTATTCTATGGGATCAAAAAGGAGAGGAAGCCGTTTTTCCTGTAGGTCATTGGGATGGGTTTTTCAGTGTTTTGAGAAATTCATTTCTTCTGCAAATTTCCCCATTTTTAGCCCGTTCTTGATCTTCTACTGCACAAATTTCCTTCTTAATGTCATCTTCACAGTGATCACCGTAATCGCGGCCATCTTCGACTTCAACCGACGACTGTTCGGCAATGTTCGATGGGACATTGGCTGGACGGTTTTCCAGGTATCGTTTTGGCGGTTTAAGGGGGAAGGCTTGAACTTGAGCCTAGCAAAAGGTGAGCCCGAATACCCGGACTCACTCAGAATTGGCTGAAAATTTTAAATTTTTTTTTTTTTTTTAAAAGAGGGAAAATTTTTTTTTTTTTTTTTTTTTTTCATTTTTTTTTTTTTTTTTTTTTTTTTTTTTTTTTTTTTTTTAAAATTAAAAATAAAAAAATATTTTATTTTTATTTTAATTTTTATTTTTTTTTTTTGAGGTTTTTTTGGGGTTTAAAAATTTAAAGGGTTTTTAAAAAAAAAAAAAGAAAAAAAAGGAAGAATTTTTTAATTTTTTATTTTAGGAATTTTTGAAAAATTTAGGTGATAGAGGGTTTAAAAAAGAAAAAAAATTTGTAAAAATTGTTTTCAAAAGATCAGGAAGATCAAAATAATCGAGGTCGAAGTGGACGATTTTGACTAAAGGTGGACCTTAATAGTGGCCAATCTCGGGTCTTAAAGATCAGTAGAAAATTCGGAAAATGTGGTGATGAGCAACGTGGTTGATTTTCTAGCTCTAGGCTTAACCCGAAGCGCAAACCAAACCTTCCTGATATATTTCAGATTCTCTTCGTCTTAGCGCAAGGGTTAGCAATCTACGTCGTGATCCGATGCCGGAAGTATGTCGATGCAAAAAAATCACTGGAAGCAGCGAAACGAGGAGGTTTGTCGTCTCTTTCTAGCGCTAGTAAACTTTTCTCGTGCTCATGCTCAAACTCTCTCGTGCTCAAATTTTACCTCTTCCTTTGCTTCTATGACCATCTTAGTCCTATGAGCTGGTTTTAAGCCAAAAAAAAACTACTTGAATTTCAGCGCCAAAACCAGTCGGCGATGGCCGATGGTGTCTCTATCGCCGATGTTTAGTCGACCCACGAACGGAAGTATTTTAACAGCCAAAAAAGGGAATTATTTATGTCATCCAAAGGTCAAATTATGATTGCGCAAAACGGTTCAGAATAAATTATTTGTATACATTCGAGGGAAATAAATGGAGAAATGTCATAGATTGATTGTCAAGGAAAAGGAAGCTACCCGTTTCATCGAGAATAACGTTGGAAAGACTTATTCAACATCGAAATGGAGAGCGGTGTCACATGTAGGAATGTCCCCACATTTCACCGAGACTATTCTGTATGTCCAGGATTGAAGCGATCGTCTCCGAGTCGCGGATTTGCATCTTTTGCAGATCTTCGCGCGTTAGGGCGAAGAAGGTCTAAAATTGTGTGTTTTCCTATCTGTCTCTCTCACACTCGCTCTCTCTCTCTCTTTCCCTTTCTCTCTGTCTCTCTCTCTCTCTCTCTCTCATCTCTCTCTATCTCTCTCTCTCTCTCTCTTCTCTCTCTCTCTCTCTCTCTCTCTCTGTCTCACCCTCTTTCTCCCTCTATTTCTCGCTTGCTCTCTCGCTCTCTCACCCTCTCTCTCGCATTCTGTCCATCTTTATCACTCTCTCTCTTGCGCTTTCTCTCCATCTCTCTCATCCTCTCTCTCTTACCTCAAAGTCAATCTCCTCGCTGATCATCACCTCCACCTTATCGGCAAGTCCCCGGCGTCGCATCTCACCCCAAATTTTTTCTGAATCACTCCATACAATGTTCTTTTCTAACTACCAACCCTCGTCACCAACCGGAGCAGGTAGTGTACTCCTCAGGCTATATCCGTGTGGTTCGGTAATTCTTGGTGCAAGGAGGGAGAGGGTCGATTGGCCGGGGAGCGATGGCGTGGATACGGTTCTAAAAATTTGGTGAAGCTACGTAAATGTGAGGCCTGGTGCCGCCGATGCCTTGTAGTCTTTAGGGAACATACTTTCTCATCTCGAACGTGGGTGGGAACTGGAAGCTGGGTCCCGGCGCTCTGCCCGGCGACATCTCGCCGCCCTCCAGGATCAGCGAGTCGCGCGACTTCTGGAACCCCTGGCCGCGTTTAACGGGATTGGTAACGAAACGATTATGTACGATTTTCAACATCCAAAAATGGAACAAGCGCAACGGCCCTGAAATACCTTCAGCATCCTCGGGGTGGTGCGCAGCGACACGGACGGCGGACCATCCTGAATCGCGATCATCGAGCGCACACGGGGGCGTGCTGGAAATAGGATAATTTTTGAAGAAGCGCTGTCGTGATCTTAAGCCTAAGCCTAAGCTTACTTACCGAACTCGCTGCCCTCCTTCCGCAAGTAGAGCGGGGCTGGCTGGGTTCTTGGCTTGACGACAGGACGTATCGGCTTCTTCTCTTTGCCACCCCCATAGCTCTAAATCCACCAAATTCCTTGTTACAGGAGCCTCTCTCTCGCTCTCTCTCTCTCTCTCTCTCTCTCTCGATCTCACTTCAACCCACATATTCCTTTGCAAATTTCATGGCCAAATCGTATTCCTGGCTGGTCGGCTCGGATTCGACCCTCCTTTCGATGTGCGTCTCGCTGTATCGATCGTAGAAGGTGACCAGGGCGAACGACGAGAATTCCTATGGAAACCATAATAGCGTAACGTTTCTTACCGCAGCCAGACTGCGCACCGCCTCGAAGTCGCTGTCCAAACTTCGCATCAACGGAGGCGAGATGTGGCGTAGGCGGTGGAGGATTTGCTCGACACGAACCAGTTTCTAAGAGGTGATTACTAGACGAGGGCTTAGTAGGCAGGCTTAGGCATAGGCGTATGCTTAGGCTTAGGCTTAGCCTCGGCTTCGGTTTCGTCTTTCACGTACCCGATGGTTCCGCCCATCGACCAACGACGCTTGTATTCGGTTTTCCATCCAATCCCGCATCGTCAATTGACCTCCCCGTCCTGTGGGTCGGCCGCAAGCCCGAGCTGCGTCTTCGTGCGGCTCACCTTCAAGGGGTGCGCCTATACCAATGCCGTCCCGCCTTACCATGTGGCTGAACTGGCCGAAGCGCTTTGCCAGACTCTTCGATCCCGAGCCGGAGAACTTCTTGTTGTCGTTGCGACTAGGCTTCTTGGTTTTCGGCTTGTACCGGTGAAGGCGGGCCCGGATGTCTGGGTCAAGCTCGTCTGAAAAATAGGTTTGATCCCAGAACATGCAAATTTCGACTTCCTAGAAATTTACCTAAAAAGTTACGCAGTGTCTTGTCACGTACCTGATGCACAAAGATAAAGGTCGTACGACGTTTGATGGAGAGTGTTCGGCTCCGTCTTCTCCACCCCCGCGCCGCACTCCAGCAGCGCGTCGACCATCTCGTTCTCCCTGGAACACGAGTTGGCACGGTTTACACGTTGCTCACCTCAGGAAGGCGGCAAGCATCAGCGCCGAGTAGCCGTGCTTTGTCTCTTGGGCGTCTACATTGTAGCGGAGCTCGAGCAATTTGTAGACCTAGGAGTAGAAGTAGCTTACGCGCTTAGGCAGGCTTGGCTTAGGCTTCGGCTTAAGGCCTTACGGCTTTTCGAAAGCGCCCTTTCCCAGCTTACCCCCTGTACACTGCCGACCGCTACCGCCCACATCAGCGGCGTGACGGCGTCGGGCATGAATGTCGTCTAGAAGGGAGTTGCTGGGCTACGCACAACACCCACCTTTGCCAGCAATGCTTCCTGCAGCTTGTCGAGCTTATTCTCCCTTAAGAGCTGTCGAAAGTCGGTTGGCTGCACGAGGTCAACTGGAAATAGTTACTGTCCGAATTTTGCATTTTGGCATTTGCATAATACTGTCGGGATCTTGATTTGTCGGTATTTTACGCACCATGTCTGATTCGATTGTTGTCGTTGAGCGTCAAGGAGATCTCTTCTCGCTGAAGCTCTTGGGCTAATTCGATTGCCGACTTTGAGTTACGGTAGGTGCGACGGGTCGGGCTGGCACCTGAATTTTAGCTGGCTCTATACTATAGCTGGCTCCGTATAGCTGTGATGCGGCGATACCTAGATCCAAGAGCGCTGAAATAATGGTGTTGTACGAGTTCTCGGGTCGAGAACAAAGGATCACGGCCGTCAAAGCCGTCAGGTTGCCTAGGGTCGGAATTGTCTCGTCGACGGCAGCGGTCCTGAATGTGTTTATTGAGTACTCACAAGGTCGTAATTACAGAATGCCGACATTTTGACTATTGACTTTGTTATACCTGGAAATTAAATATCCGCAAATTTGCGGCATCCCGTTGACGGCGGCGACGACGAGGGGCGACGGGCACAGCGAGGGTAGGATCTTTGGGGACACCTCCAGATGGAGGCCCACCAACTTCTTCACGACGTCGAGATGGCCTAGGTTCGCGGGCTGTATTGGTTTGTAGAATACGATCACCTCCAGCGGCAGCTAGCGTTAGCCCTGTCGCTCCTAGGTATCTAAAGTAGGTTGAAATTTGGGCATAGGCTGAGGCTAACAGAGGTCGACCATGGAAATCGGTCATATCGATAGGCTTAGGCTTAGGCTTAGGCTTAGGCTTAGGCTTAGGCTTAGGCTAACAGAGGTCGACCAAAGAAATCGGTCATATCGATAGGCTTAGGCTTAGGCTTAGGCTTAGGCTTAGGCTTAGGTTAGGCTTAGGCTTAGGCTTAGGCTTAGGCTTAGGCTTAGGCTTAGGCTTAGGCTTAGGCTTAGGCTTAGGCTTAGGCTTAGGCTAACAGAGGTCGACCAAAGAAATCGGTCATATCGATGGGCTTTGGCTTTGGCTTACGTAGGACGCCCAATATCGGCTCCGCTTTGCAAAAGTGCTTCGATGACTTGAAGGCGTCCCTCACGGCATGCATGGTGGAACGCCGTCATCCCCAGCTGAACATAAAGTTTTTTCTCAGGGCTGTTTGGTCGTGTGGTTATTTCATTGATTTCACGTCTCGGAATGGCAGAGATTATTTAGGACAGTATTGGGTAGCGTATGAAGGCCATGGCTCGAAAAGTAAACTAACTTGGTTGCAGGCGTCTACCTCGGCTCGCGATTCGATCAGAAAGGCCACCTGCAAGGTTTTTCCTTTAATAAAAGGATGCCCATACCATATACGAGTCGCCAAGGGCGGCGGCAATTTGCAGCGGGGTTAGGTAGTCGTCGTCGAATGCATCGACCGGAACCCCAGACTTGATCAGACTGCGCACCTTAAAAACAGGATAAGACTTTGCTTCGAATGTATCAAATATTTAGAGCAGCTTAAGCCTAAGCCTAAGCCTAGAAGAAGCCATACGAACTAAGTTTGGGCCAAAGCCTAAAAAGCCTAGTCCTAAACTGAATCCTTGCCTGGAAAGCCGAAGCATAAAACAAAGCCTAGGCCTAGCCTAGCCTTGTCTACTCGAAGCGGAAGCCTAAGAAAGAAGCCTAAGCCAGAACTCAAGCTTACGCTCAATATGCTCATGTCCCACAACGTATATCTATGATGCGCACCTTATGCAAATTACCCTCGGCTGTCGCAGACAACAGGGCAAGCCTTTGACGCTCCTCTTCGCTGATCCATTCGACGTGTGGCTGGCCGCTCATCCTCCTCACATCTGTTGGAATCTGCCGCTCGTCCAGCTACGCAACAGTACTAATCGCATTTTACTGTACTGCGGAAACGAAATGGAAAAGTGCACGAAAACCTAGGACCCGACGACAGATGGTTGAGGCCGAAAAAACTTTGCATAACGGTCAAAAATTGGGAGCAGCGACGAAAGACAGGATTATTTGCGCGCCCGGCGGCGGCTGTCTGGGTAACAACCCCGGCGCGTAATCAATTGCCACTCGCGCGGATCGTGATCAGCGGCCGGGCGGCGAAAGTGAAGTGGAGCCTGCGGAATGCGGGACGATCAGCAAAAAATCCCCGTTGCAGCGCGCTGTGCGTGGGTACGTTACGCACGATTACTGTAGATCTGTGCCCAAGGATTTTGTTAGCGACTAGATCATGACCAGATTGTTTCATTTCTTTCTCTCTCTCTCTCTCTCTCTCTCGTTCTCTCTCTTTCTTTCTAACTCACTCGCTCGCTGTTCTCCGTCCAGATTTTCCGGACGTGTCACTCTTTTTCGACTATGCAATTTTGGATCTAATGGCTGGCTCCGATACATTTTTAATTTTCATCAAACTAATACTTGGGCTTAGGCTTAGGCTCAAGCTCAGTGTTTGGCTTGGGATTGGGCTAGCTTCACTCTAGTGCTATGAGCGTCAGATCACACCGACTATCATCAGAAGTTAGCCGTCGACATTTCAGGAATGATAGTCGAGATGAGGTGGTTTCCCTTCTCTGGGGGATCCGGGGTGTTATGTGGAATGTAGGGGGGGGATGGGATGCTGCTGTTGTCGGCTCGGCCTCTTTAGTCATTCCTTATGATTCGCTGGTTGGAGGAAGAGATAGAGCGAGAGAGAGAGAGAGAGAGAGAGAGAGAGAGAGAGAGAGAGCCTGGTCGTCCTTTCTGCTCTGCCTCTCAATCGATCGGATCAGCCCCCCGTGCGTCTCGACCTTCCCCCCTTTGCGATCGGCTCGTTGCTCTGTATCTCTCTCTCTCTCTCTCTCTCTCGCTCACTAGCCAGGTAAAGGAATGCGTCTGTGCCCTCCGGTTCCTTCTTCTCCACCATCCGCACACGCCCTTACCTGCACCCCCCATCAACCACCACCAACATACGGCCCCACCATCTGGCCGCACGTTTATAATTGTGCCAGCCGGGGCCATATATTTATTCCTATTTACTTAATATATCAGTAAAATACCGGGTATCCAAAAAAACCCTTTAGCGGCCCGCAGTGATGTCCGACTTTTGCGATTTAGATATATATCGAAAGCCCTCAACGAGATGCAGAGATCTGAACTCTCCGATTTTGGAAATTCCCGAATTTTTTATAACATTTACTAAATTTTGATGCTTTTTCCCATGCTAGTGTTGGAACAAAAACCCCATTTTCCACATTTTTATATCACTCCTGGCAGCCCAAGGTCGGCTTTTCGAAACGCATTTGAGAAACAACAGCTTGGATGGGACTGAAGCCGATTCAATTGAGTTTTTGCAGAAATTTGCTTCATTTATGCCAGAAAAACGATGAAAAACGCGTTAAAATTATTCGGGAATCTCACCACTCGGAGAAAATATCTCTTCACGCCCTCTATTTCACATATTCTCATACCATTATGGCAGTTTTTTGTACCTCGGTTTTCCCCATGTTTTACCCCGGAATCTCGGGTCTACGGGGCTGGGGATGTTGTGTGACTTATTGGCTTATTCTTCGCTATCAGCCGTTGCAATTTGAGGCGGAGCACGTTATTTTGCGGTGACTCAAGGTGTCGAGACAACCTGGACATAAAGAACTAGGTCGAAAACGCATTTTATCAGGCATAATACCCTTAAGGTAGGCTAATGTTTTTATTTAGCATCGAGACTTTACGGCCTAAAATGACAAAAATCTATTGTGATAATTTTTGCCTCTGTTTCTGCCATCCGTTTGCCTGCATGCATTTTCCGACTGGGTCGATTCACCCTGTTTTTGGTCGATTCAGGCAATAGAAACAAAGAGAGCATAAGAGAGAAAGAAGGGGACGGAGAGAGAGAGAGAGAGAGAGAGAGAGAGAGAGAGAGAGAACTAGAGGGATTTTTACTTTTCTAATCGATTCGACCACGCTCTGCTTCGACCGTTCTCTCCATTCTCTTGATTTTCACATGATCATTTTCTCTTCTCACATGCTCTTGGTTTTCTATCATAATGTCAAAATTCATAATGTCGAGATTCAGAAAGACGATTTTTGGAGGGTTCGGGGTTTTTCCGGAAAAACTAGCTTATGTAAATTTCGACGTGCTGAAATTTCGAGAATTATGATTTTCGACAATTTAAAAGTAACCCCATTCTTCAAACCCGATGCTTCACTGTAAATTACCCATCTAAAAAAATCCGCAATTTCCAGGCGCCCGTCCCCCCGGCCACTGCCGTGTTATCATCTGGCGGTGTGTGTGGGCCACTGGTCGATGCGCTCGGCCGGAACCTCTCTTCTAAACGGAGAGCCCCCAACCTCGTCCACATCCACGCGAACCCCCATCAGAAATCATGATCCGCCCAACCAGGTAAAGCTTTTTGTCGAATCCCTATCATTGCCACGTCAATCAACATCTGGAAAAGAAAATCCCATCTCCAAAATCTTCGAAAAAATCCATTACCTCGAAACTTTCGTGATGTAAATTTCCGGTAGCTAATTTTCAAAATAACGACCGATTTTGTTTCGCCGCCATACTTCAAGTTATAATCTAAGCCGAAGCCTCAGCTTAAGCTTAACCCTATGGCGAAGTCTGAACCTAAACCTAAGCCCAAGCCTAAGCCCAAGCCTGAGCCTAAGCTCGACCTTAAGGCCAAGCCTAAACCTAAGCCTAGGCCTAATCCTAAGCCAAGTTATAAGCATACTTTTTGCACCAAACCTCCCAGACCACCCACTCATTTCCGGTCCCCGGCTAATCAGTTTTGCATTCCGCTTTTAATGGCCCACTTGAAGGCGTTGAAGCCTGTGATATTTCGGACGGTCCAAATATGGGCAGGATTTGGAGGGGTTCCATCAAAATTGGTTTGTCCTAGGAGCAATGAGCAGGGCTTCCAATGGGGATGGGGTGCGCTTCTCCTGGCGTTCTACCAGGAAAAATAAGCTGATATCTAAAAACTCCCGTTGCCATTTATTGTCACAACAAATGGAGCGGCCGTAGCTTCCGCCCCCTCTGCCGCACTGCTCAAATTCCATTCCCAATCATTTTCCAATGACAACGAAGATGTGGAAAGGGGGCGAGGCGATGAGAGGTGTGCTGGAATGCTTTCTCACCCAGTCGCTCTCTCTCTCTCTCTCTCTCTCTCTCTCTCTCTCTCTCCCCCCTCTCGCATGGAAAACGTTTTCCAAATTCTTCGACCCCGCGATCATGCACTATGTGCTCATATTAGGAGGCTCTGGTAAATAGTTGGGTTTTTGCCAGCTCCCCGGCAATGATGGCAGCGAGGGTGAGCTTTAAAAATCGGCAGTTTCTGGTGGCTTCTTAGTTCTTCCATACACATAACGGCATCTCGTTTCCGGTGCGACAAATGCCGTTTTCCTAGGAAAAAGCGCTTGCTTACGCATAGGCTTAGGCCACTTTTGAGGAGGGGCGCTACCATTTTTGCATGTCTGGTAGAGAAAGCGCTCCTGCTAATCCGCCTGTTTTCAGGACCTCAAAGTCGGGCGATATCGTGAGAAACTCGAGCAAATCCGCGACTCGCTAAAGCCGTTTGTTGTAAGTGTTCTGCATAAACCTTAGGAACGTCGGTGCTTTTCAGCAAAGCCAGGATGAACCTATCGCGACACCATCCTATACAGTATCCCTGGATCAACAAGAACAGATGATCAAATTGATGACGCAGGCCGGCACTGATCGGGTGCGTTTTCAACGCTATTTAGCCACTCTTTCTTTCTCTCTTCCTCTCTCTCGCTCTTTCTCTCTCTCACTCTCACCATTATAATGATAATTCAATTTGCTATCGTAATCTCGAAATTTCAGAATATCTACATTTTTGCATAGGATTTGGGGGGTTTTCTGGGCAAATTTGCGAATGTAAATTTCGACATTATGAAGTTCGACATTATGATTTTCGACATTTTGAAAGAAACGCCGATATTTCTCATAGGCGCTGGCCAGCCGTGCTCTCCAGATCGTACAATTCAAGAGCATCACCGCGGCCAACCAACTGCTCAATCAGCTTAGGAACCCTTCTGTAAGTTTCTCAATAAAACGATCTATCTGAAATAATACAGCAAATCTGTAAAAAATAAAAATGCAACCTAAAATACGTCCCCATCTTGCAGGATTTGCGCCAATCGGACCGAGACCACCAAGTCTACAACCCACAACTGCCGAACCAGTCGCTGAACAGCATCAACTCGAGCGGCTACGGCGGCAGCTCCCTGATGTCGACCAACAATTTTGGGTCAACGCCGAATTTTGGGAATTTCACGGGGCAGCCGTACGGGTTCGCGAGCACCAGCTACGTGGAGGAGAGGTCAGCACACCTAGCCGGTCCCTTTAAAAATTTGTTTTAGTGAATCTCCCCGCTCGGCCTCCCCGTCAGCTCATCAGATGGCCACGATGCAATCGCCCTACCAGAACCGTGCCTACCTGCCGGCACCTCCAAAGGGGAACTGCCGATCGCACGTCCATATGCAAATGTGGGTTTACTAAAATGCTGCGGCGTAGATGACGATCCCCAGTTGTGCTGAAAATCATAATGACGGAATTTCGACATTTTGCCAGAACATCGCAATCGCAATTTCCAGTCGACAACCCGAGCCCGGCGAAGAAATTCCGCGAATACCACGCGTTGTCCCCAGCACGGCTCGAGGCCCGATGATATCCATCGAGAGGGCCCCAAAGAAGGAGACGTCAAGGTACTAAACTAAAAAAGACAATTCTTTGCATTCCCGGTCTCACCAAATCCGCATTTTTAGGGCGTGGATGAACATGGGAGAAGGGGAAGCGCCACGGAAGGAACCAATTCAATGGATTAAGGTTAGGATTCGAGTCCACATTGATGTTGTGCTTAGGCCACGATGAGTGCGCCGCCCTCGGCCGCCAATCAGGTTCATATCAAGATCAATCCCTCGACCAAGGTGAGATATTTCCGATGTTTATGACTACAATCTCTCTCTCGCTCTCTCTCGCTCTCAAGCTCTCTCTCTCTTTCGTTCTCCCTCGCCCGCTCTCTCTCGCTCTATGTCTCTCTCCTCCGCTCTAAATACATCTAACCATTCAACTCCCAATCTGTTCAGGAGTCGTACGCGTACGCTACGCACTACTTGGCCCCCAGTGGTGTGAGTACGGTCACCGGCGTCCCCACCGGGATGCAGGGCGTCCAGAACATCCTCGTCGACCCGGACATCAGCCGTGAACCCCACCAGATGAAGCACTACCGCGATAAGTTCTGCACCCGCGGGCCCCGCATCGAGCATCATGGCCATAAAATAGGACGAGTGTCTCCGAATCAAATGCCGAGCACTTCCCGGGATTACTATCCCCCGGAAAGGAGGTTGGTGGACACGGATTTTTGATGATCTACCGGCTCATTCTATCCATCCTATCCTTTCTAAATTCCAGTTCACCATCGGGTCCGACTTGCCATCTGTCTTCACTGCCGACAAGCGTCGAAAAACGGATACGAGTAGGTTTTCGAACCAGGTGTAACAAGGCTGTAGCGTTAGCGTAAGCCTAAGGCGAAGCTTCAGCCTGAGTCTAAGCCTAATCTTAACCTAGGCCCAAGCCGCAATTAAGCCCAAGCTTTAGCTTGAGTTAAGCCTGGGTCTAAGCCAACACTAAGCCTAAGCTAAGTCCAAGCTCAAGCCCAAGCCCAAACTAGGCCCAAGCAAAGTACAAATCTAGGCCTAAACCCTAGCCTAGGCCTAAGCCTAACACCACCTTTAGGACAAGACCTTCGAATCGGCCGTCAAACCCATCACGCCCCATCTCTACCGCTTCTTCATGGAACAGCACGTCGAGCGGGTCGTCCAGGCACATCGCGAGCGACAAAAACGGGCCATGCAGGTGCGTAATGAAAAGCCAGCGGCGATAAAATTAGAATTATGCTAATACCCTCTTCTAAACCGTGTTTGCAGCTACAAAAAGAAATGGAAGCGGTGAACATGTCGGACATGATGAAGGACAGCATGTTGTCATTTTTGATTCAAAAGGAAAATCGGTGGGCTTGACCTTTCGGACTTACGTGGCTTTTTAAAGGTATATGCGGCTGAAGCGACAAAAGATGAGCACAAAAATGTTTGAGGTGCTCAAGGAGATTGGCGTCGGGGCATTCGGACGGGTGGCCCTGGTGAAGAAGGTTGGTGAGAGGGAGAGAGAGAGAGAGAGAGATAGAGAGAGAGAGAGACATGTGGCTTCCCACATGTTCTTAATCGATGACCCTTCAGAAAGACACGGAGCAAGTCTACGCGATGAAGACGCTACGAAAAAGTGACGTCATCAAAAAACAGCAGGCCTCTCATGTCAAAGCAGAACGCGACATTCTCGCCGAAGCGAATTCGCCCTGGATTGTCAAGCTCTTCTTCTCTTTCCAGGACGAAAGGTGGGCGGAGAGAGATGGAGAGAGGGAGAGAGAGTGCCAGAGAGCGAGAGAGTGTCGTTCACGTCGGCGCGGGTCCATCATTCAATTTAAGGTGTCTATATTTCATCATGGAGTACGTGCCTGGCGGGGACATGATGGGCATGCTGATCACGATGGGTATATTTCCGGAAAAATTGGCGAGGTAAAGCTAGAGAGATGGAGAAAAAAAAGAGAAAGTGAGCGAGAGAGAGAGAGAGAGAGAGAGAGAGAGAGAGACTGAAACCTGCCAAATCACGCCAATGATTTTAGATTCTACACGGCGGAGTTGACCTGCGCACTGGAGTACGTCCATTCCCTGAAGTTTATACATCGCGACATCAAGGTGGGTGTTTAGCGATCCTTTAGCATGCGTCGATTCACTTTTTAAAGCCTAAGCCTAAGCCTAAGCCTAACCGACGCCGTTCAGCCTGACAACATCCTCATCGACCGTGAGGGCCACATCAAGCTGACCGATTTCGGGCTGTGCACCGGGTTGCGGTGGACGCACGACCGGAGGTGGGCACGGCAATTTTGTCATTGCAACGGATTTCAGATATTATGGCCCGGAAAATGAGGATTATCCGTCACACAGTCGCCACGACTCGCTGACGCTGCCAGACGACCTGAAGCGAGCGCTGAAGGAGAACAGCAAGCTGCTGCCGGTTGGTTGAAATCACAGTCTCTGTCGCTCTCGCGCTCCCCCTCTCTCGTTCTGTTCCTCGCTCTCTCACTGCCTCTACGCTTTTTTACAGGGCCGACTCAGTCACTACCACGGCCGCCAGCGTCACCAGGCGCTGTCCGTCGTCGGCACCGGCAACTACATGGCCCCGGAAGTGGTTCGGAAAACGGGGCACACCCAGTTGTGCGACTGGTGGTCGGTGGGCGTAATCCTCTACGAGATGGTCATCGGCCGGCCGCCGTTCATGTCGATGACCGACGACCCCAACGAGACGCAGATGAAGGTATGGTCCAGTTTTTTATAGATTGCGCCGGAAGGCAGGATACGCTTAAGCTTAAGCCTAAGCATAAGCCTAAGCCAAAGCCTAATCTAAGCCTGAACTGAGAATACGCCTAAGCCCACGCCTAAGTCAAGATTTCCGATGAGAATCCCGAAAATCTGTTTCCCGAAAATCTGATTCCCGAAAATCTGAATCCCGAAAAATCTGAATCCCGAAAATCTGATTCCCGAAAATCCGATTCCCGAAAAATCTGAATCCCGAAAAATCCGTTTTCCGAAAATCCGATTCTCGAAAATCCGATTCCCGAAAATCTGAATCCCGAAAAATCCGAGCCCCAGAATCCAAACCTGGAAAGACCGCGCTCTGAAAAGCCAAATTGAAAGAAAACGAAGTTAAAAATTAACTTTATTGAATTCACCGTCTTGGAAGTCGCCCAGGAACTTTAGAAAGGGTTTTGGTACAATTCAAATAGGCGGGGGGTGAGGATTTCGGCGGGGGGCGGGGGGGAGGTGGGCCTATAGGCAGAGGGGGTGCCTAGAGAGCAGGGCGGGCGCTGAGACGCAGATTGCCCCCCGCCTGAATCTCCCTCCGCCCGCCTCGTTGAATTGTACCAGGGGTTTTTTTCAGTTCACAAACCGCAGATTCTTCAGATTCAGATTTTTCGGGAACAGATTTTCGGGAAACGAATTTTTCGGGATTCAGATTTTTCGGGAACCGGATTTTCGGGATTCAGATTTTCGGGATTCAGATTTTTCGGGATTCGGATTTTTCGGGAATGCTATTTTCGGGAATCGGATTTTCGGGAAACGGATTTTCGGGAATCAGATTTTCGGAAGTATAAGCGAAGCCCCTAAGTCAAGCCTCAACTTAAGCCTAAACCTAAGCCTTGACCCTTTCAGATCGATCAATGGCCCGAATTTCTCGACCTGTCACTCCAATGCACCCAGCATCTCTCTCGAGAATGTGTCCGGATGATCCGGTGAGTGGTAACGCTAATTCTTGTCCTCCTGCTGATCCTCAGCATCAAGGCGATATAACCAAATAACGATGAGATTTTCAGACAGCTTATCAGCGAGCAGAGCGAACGTATTGGCGGCCGGGCCGGGGCCAGCGAGCTGATGGCGCACCCCTGGTTTAAGGTCAGCGAATCCGACTTGCTTCAATGTTTGCTTTTTTGTAGGGGATCGATTTCGCGACGCTTCGCCAGCAAAAAGCCGAGCATGTGCCGCGCGTCGAACATCAGGAAGATACGCAGAATTTCGAGACCATCGAGGTAAGGGGGGCGGGCGGGCTTTTTCGGGTACTAGCTTATGTAAATTTCGACACTCTGAATTTTCGACATAAGGAAAGTTCGACCATTTGAATATTTTTTTTCAGTCAGCGGAAAGTCCTTTCGAGACGTTGAGCAAGGGGAAGGCGCCGGCCAACCCAGCCTTTTACGAGTTCACGTTTCGGCATTTCTTCGACTATGATGGACAGGTTTGTGAGCATCGGATCCAAGAATCCATAGCATCTTAGGCTTAGGCTTAATTTTAGGCTTGGGCTTAGGCTTAGGCTTACGCTTAGGCTTAAGCTCAGGCTTAGGCTTAGGATATGCTTGGGCTCAGCTTAGACTCTCTGAAATGCTCTTTTACAGGGATGCCCAAGTCTTCGGCCGAGCAAGCGTCCCTCGCTGGCTCCACTCTTCGAAAACGGGCACAGTGGTGGAATGTCCTCTGGCATCGGGCACCATTCCCCCTCGACGGCATCTCAGCGTCCATCGGGCCGCCCATCCACCCATCTACAGCATTTCGGCGGACTCTACAATAGCCCACTACACGAGGATGACGATGATGATAGTGGGGAGTCGTTTGTCGTCTAGATTCTCGACTAAAAGGCCTAGAATTCTCTTATTCATCCACGCTTTTCCTCTCTAGACTTATTATACTGTCCTCCTCAAGCTTGAGTTGGAACTCCAGCCATAATCCCGAAAGTCAAAATCCCGACAGCCAAAATGAGATATTTCCGGTCGTTCTACCCATAGATGGTTTCAAAATCTGGGGCTACCTGCCTGTCGGGATTTTGGCTGATCAGGATTTTGCTGTCGGGATTTTGGCATTTCCCCCTGAGTTGTCATGGCTCCCTTTCTTTATTTCCATACAGATACGGGTCGCTCACGTTGTAGATTTCTATATATCATCCCATTTTTGTTAATGTATTGATGCAGAATTGACAAGATTTCATGTGCCAAATACTGTAGACCGCGTTGTGCAGCGCGAATTATAACCTTCCCCCACCCCACGCAGAATCCGAGTCCCATATGTGATATCTGAGCCTTTTCCTTTTCGCAGATGCCCCACTGATGAGCATGTTTTGTCTTTTTTACAGTGGATTTGTATTTTGTACGGCTCAGCGTTATGCAGGTGGCTCCAAAAATAAATTATGGTACTTTACACATCGAAAGGAAAGATTTGGGCTTAGGCTTACTCTTGGGCTTAGACATAGGATTGGGCTTAGACTTAGGCTTAGAGTATAGGCTTAAGCTTAGGCTTAGGCTTAGGTTTTGTCTTTGCTTAGGCTGAGGCCTAGGCTTAATCTTGGGTTAGGTTTGGGCTTAGGCTTACGCTTCGTTTAGGCTTAGGCTTCGGCTTAGGCTTAGGAGCTTTTCTTGTCTTCGACATTCCATAACCATTTTGGCGCTATATTTCTCGAACGTAAACGTTAATTTCGAGGAATTACCCCCGGCACTTGAGGCATCAAAAATGCGCCTACCCTCCCTAACCACCTGGAATGCCCGGGTATCCGGGAATATCCCGCGGCCACCAGCTCGAGCCCCCGATTTGGGCATCTGCCCCCATGCAATCGTCGCATCCAAATTCCAAAACCACCATTGTTCACCTTGGTCTAATTACGCAGGCTCGAGCTGCCAAGGCCGATGTCCCCTGCCTACCCATCCTGCGAAGTGGCCCAATATCAAGAATGGATCCTCTCGCTTGAGCAACAGCTTTATCGTCTTGCGGATCGGGACCCGGCCAGTGGTTCTGGCTACACTAGCCCCCTACGGTCTCATCCCATGTTCAACGCTCTGCAGGTCGTATTCGAAGAAATTAGATGCGGTAAGAAATTTTGAAGGGAGACCGACCTTTTTTTGTATAAGTAGAAATCTCTAGTAAGTCAATAGACAGTGCCATTATTTTTTAGTAATATATAACTATACTTAAACAAAAAAACTATGTAAAAACTTTTGAAATATATAATATTGAAAAAGCCGAAATTTTGGCCCAAAATCGGTCTTTTTTTGGCCGAAAAATCGATGTTTTTGATGTTTGTAGAAATTTGTTACGTTTAGGAATAGCAAAAAATCATTGAAAAACACTGTCACTATTCATATCTAAAAAATTAGATTAGAAAAAGTTGCTTTCAAAAATGCGAAAGAACCTTTCGACCTGACATTTCGAAATTACGTATTTCGGCATTATTTCGACTCAACATTGCGATGCAAAAAGTTTAGCTGTCCACCAGCGCACCAACCGGCATCCGACAACGCGTAACTGTCCTGAATATTCTCAGGTAACATTTGAGAATTTCTTTATCGCGTTTGGGTCGTCCGAGTTCGGAATCCAGATGCACATTTTTAGCACCCAAACCTCCCAACGAAAAGCGTGGAAAGAATTCAGGTTTTTTCGCCAGCCAATTTCAGGTGAGCAGCTATGCAAAATGCTTTCAAGACTTGTCCTTTAGCCGGCTGAAAATGACGCGACACTCCTTCACACGCCGACAACGCGACTACCTGGAGGCTCGCTTTCACGACGATCCGTACGCCTCGCCGGCACGACGCCGCGAGATTGCCGCCAAATTTGACGTCGCGGAAACGAGGGTATGGACGTATTCTAGCCAGAATGCATGTACTTTTCAGATCAAGCTGTGGTTCCAGAATCGGCGACAGCGCGACAAGCTCGGACGTGCTACTTCAAAGCCAGAACAGGCGGCAAAATGATTCTAGATACATACGATGTTTTTCTCCGCCATCCATATTCTTATAAAACTGTTTCCCAAACGGACTGACTTGCGGTAACGGACCGACAGGACTTACGGCACTTCTTCCCCGCGGTATAAACACAAACTCACGCTTACGCCCTACTGATGCTTCGATTAGGCATACTATTACGCCCAACCTTAGCTTTGGCCGAACCGGCAGATTACCCGCATTCCAAAGTGTCACTGTCCCTTGAGCCGCTTTCTCGTGCTCACCCCAAAAGGACGAGTCTCGAGGCGGGGGAAGCCGGTTCCAGCCCCCGGATCTCGAGGCCTAGCGGGCATTTTCTGCCAGCCCGCATTGATTATTTGATTGTCAAAAAAATCCCCTTAAAAATTTGCTTAAAACCGCTTAAAATTTGCTAAAAAATGTTTAAAACCATCCCCCTGTTATTTCCCTTATTCCTGATGGCAATCTGCGAAAAATGCCCGCCAGTATGGGGCGAATTCGAGTGCCCGCTGGGTTTCTCCTGCAATCAAACGCAATGCCTGTCGGCTCGGGGCAACGTTGAGATAGATTGTGCTCAGGTTGGATTTGTACTTCCGAAATTATATAGGAATTTTGTAGCTGAGTTGCCCACCGCAAACCGTGTGCGCTGATGGGAAATGTTTTCCATTGTCGGCAATTAAGGTCAGTGGTTGTTGGTATTTACCATTCTTAGGCATAGGCTTAGGCTTGTTAGGCTTAGGTTTAGGCTTAGGCTTAGGCTTAGATTTAGGCTTAGGCTTGGCTTAGATTTATGCATAGGTTTACGCTTAGGCTTATGCTTGGACTTAGGCTTAGGTTTAGGCTTAGTTTAGGCTTAGGCTTATGCTTAGGCCTAGGTTGGGTAAGCTAACGCCTTGAAGCTGAATTACAGTGCAACCGCCACGTCCTCACCGCCGAAGGGGAAGCGCGCTCGATCGTATCCGACTGTGGCCGGCGCGGGAAATGCGTGAACGGCCAATGCCTGCTAGACCGTAACCCGAGACTATCGTGATTTCAGGCCCATTGTCTAGGTTGCGCAGACGTCAACTGCGAAGAAGGCGAAATTTGTCGAGATGGGAAATGCACGATGATGGTGGGTATTGGAGTGCCATAACCAGATCTGTCGTTCGAATGTGATCGCCCTGTTGGTTATTGCGCCATTTGTTAGGTTGAAGCCTTTTGCGTACAGCACGCCGACTGCGGGCCCAGCCTGGACTGCCGAAACAACAAGGTGCGTTTTTGATAGTTTGAAGTCAACAGCTCGAAAAGGCTTAGGCTTAAGCGTGGTCTTTGCTTGGGCTTTTTTTAGGCTGTAGCCTACGACAAAGCCGCTAAAGGACTGCTGCTTTAGTGTGTGCTACGGCCGCAACCGCCAATCTGCACGTGCAACCCGGATCAACTATGCAAGCGAGGCGAATGTTTGCCGAATAAACGTGAGGTTATGTTCATCAAGTTTAGGAATGAGCTATGCTTAGGCTTAGGCTTAATCTTAGGCTTGGCTTAGGCTTAGGCTTAGGCTTAGGCTTAAGCCTGGGCTTGGACTTGGTTTCGCTTAGGCTTAGGCTCCGGCTTATGTCACAAATCAATTTTAGGTTGTGGGAACATCGTATGTCCCGATGGAAGCTATTGCGTCGAGGGCACTTGCATAACGGGTGAGAAAAGAGTCGATGACCCAAATAATCGACACGTTCAGCGGTCGGGTTGGATTGTTCGGACGACGTGTGCCATGGCGGCACGGTTTGTGTGGAAGGAAGATGTCAGGCTGATCAGTGCATTAATAGGTTTAGAAATAGATTTAGATTGAATACGTAAAAAATGGTAAATGGGGTTTGTAAAACACTCGGTGAAATTGTGGCTAATCGATTTAGGTGCCCGGCGGACCACGAGTGTCGCGAGGGGCAGTGTCGAGCGCTCCAGGTAAGAAAAGCAGGGAAAACTTCGACTATCACATTTGGACATTATGAATTTCGACATTTGTGACGGTAAATCACCTATTTCAGGGAATATTATGCACTGGAGAATGCCCGATGCCGTACGAATGTGTCGATGGGACGTGTCAAAGGAACGGTAAGCATACCGGATTGCTCCCCCACCCTTCACACCAACAATTCTAGAATGCAGTCTGAAGGTATGCCAGATCGGCGAGGTCTGTGAAGGAGTAGGAAGCTGCAATCGGGCTGAAGGTAGGTCTAATGAGACCAGAAAACGCAAAGTTTGGTACTGGACGGTTAGCGGGGGGGCTATTTCTTCTTTTTGCGTGTCTATCGGACTTTTAAAATACTGTATTTTTGTGATGTTTTTCCCAGCTTCTGGTTGTTGATTGCTAGCAACACATAAAAATTTAGACATTTTTGGAAGTTCGAAAATTCCGGTAGGCTTGGGCTTAAGCTTCGGCTTAGGCTCAGATCAGGTACCGCATTCCAAGCATCACCACCTACTTTCTAGGGCGTTTCTGTACGCTAGCGATCCGGGACTGCGGCTTCGCCTTCAAGTGCGAGAGCAATCGATGCGTGGACTTGTTGATGGCCACACAACGGGCATATCAATACTACCAATAATCCTTGTCAACGTCAGTTTCCGACCGCCGTTCAAAAATCTCAATAAATCGTGCAATAACGGCCTGGAACGAAGGTACGACAAGCTAATTTTAACAGCATTAAAAATGTTGTTGTCGAAATTTACATAAGCTAATTATTACAGAAAAAAATCCGAATCTTATGCATCAAAATGCCGACATCTTGAATTTCGACATTATGACATTTCGAAATTGTTCGAAATTAGGATGGCAAATCGCATAGGATAGCATAAATATTTATTCGCATTGATTGCAAGGTGGTACTAAGCGTTGGCGGATATCAAGGCGTAGAGCAAGAGAAGTGCCACTGAGCAATGGGTCGATGAGGCGGCCGAAGGGGTGAATTTCACCTTCGAGATTGTCGGGTTTTCTGGGTTAATGATTTGATTTTTATTTGGGAGAAACATACGGTGCGCGGAGAGGAACTGATAATGTGCATAGAAACCGGTGGCATCAAAGATCTCGTTCGTCGAGAAAACCATCCTGAAATTTTCACTTCGTCGAAGTGAGCCGAATTCTAAATTAGGCTTAAGCCTATGCCTAAGCCTAAGCATAAGTCAAAGCCTAAGCTTCAGTCTAATCTCAGGCCTAAGCCCATGCTTAAGCCTAAGCTGAAGCCTAAAGCTAAGCAAAGTCCATGCACCCCGCTTTCACTCCCCATCACCTATCCCCCTCCAACCTACCGATAGTAGTTCGACTCCGACATTGTCGATATTCTGGGCAGAAATCTTCCGCAGACCCGTCGATTATTTCGGTCGGGACTCTAAAGGCTTGGGCTGATATCGGCAGACGGACAAAAACCTGATAGTTGCTGAACAAGACGAAATCACTCTGCGACTGTTCGTCGCATCTGAAAGGGGGTAGATTTCCAGTAATTCTCGAGATCCAGTCAAATAACGATCCGAAAAAGCCTCATCAGAAGTAACTGACTGGTTGAATCCCTCGACATCAAAGTATTCAAAGTGGATGTGAACGATTTGGTCTTCGCGTCCATGGAAGATGTATTCACAAAGGAGATTCCGGGGGTAGAGGCCGGGGTAGTTGATAGACCTGAAATTGAGAGATAGAGAGAGAGAGAGAGAAAGAGAAAGAGAGAAAGAGAGAGAAAGAGAGAGAGAGAACGAAAACTGTATCTTCCGCTGGAAAAAAACCCCACCATAACTTCCCCGACTCCTTCCTGGACGAGTTGAACACAAAGCGACAGCCTAAAACCGGAATTATCGCACAGTTGACGCTAAAAACGGACCTCGACTTGAGTCGTACTGTGCCTCCATCTCTCCCATATTCCAGTCGGCATGGAAGTTGTATTCAAGGCGAAATCCGACCTCTTGGCTCGCCGATTCGCGTACCGCGCGGGAGGACTAAATTTCAGGTTTGGAAAGTAAGCTTAAGACCTAAGCCGACGCCTAAGCTTAAAGCCAACCTAATTCTAAGCTTAAGGCTGCGGATTCGACACGTTACCTTCGTGTTATACTCCATTTGCAGAATATTAGAGCTGCTCATCAACTGTGGGGGCACGTCCTTCGAGCACCAAGTATCTAAATTTAGCGTCAATATTCAAAGGAGATGCACCAATTCTGGAGAATCGCGCGCCGACGCGGACGGCCGCTGTAAGATGGTCATACTCGGCACATCTGAAAAGAGCATGCCGGTTTAAAGGTACTTAGAAGTGCCCCGAAAAAGTTTGGCGCCTCTAATGTAGCCTCTTGGGCTGTTCCCCCCCCCCCCACACTCACCGCTTAGTCGTATTCGCGTGCTCAGGGGCGTACAGATTGAAGTAGGTGAAGCGGACGGAGACCTTCTCGTTTTGATTGCCCTGAAAGGTAAGCGATAGTATAGGGAGAAACAGCGACACCTCAAAGACGATCACACATTTCGAGGGTAACGAGCTGGAGCGGGAGGCCAATTGTGATGAGGCAATCTTCCCGCTTTTCCCATTTTTCGATGAAATCTGCAGGGTGCATTCGGAGAAGGTGGCTGAATGGAATTACATGCTTAGTTTAGGCTTCGCTTAGGCTTAGGCTTAGGCTAACAGAGGTCGACCATGGAAATCGGCCATATCGATGGGCTTAGGCTTAGGATTAGGCTTAGGCTTAGGCTTAGGCTTAGGCTTAGGCTTAGGCTTAGGCTTAGGCTAAAAGAGGTCGACCAGGGAAATCAGCCATATCGATGGGCTTAGGCTTTCAGGCTTGCCAGGCTTGCAAAAAGGTGCGACCATGGAAATCAGCCATATCGATGGGCTTAGGCTTAGGCTTTGGCTTAGGCTTAGGCTTAGGCTTAGGCTTATTAGGCTTAGGCTTAGGCTAAAAGAGGTCGACCATGGAAATCAGCCATATCGATGGGCTTAGGCTTAGGCTTAGGCTAACTACCGGTGGCTCATTTCAGGATTGTAATTTGTGTCCGTAGATCCATTAGCAAACGCCATCTGTCCCCAGAAAGAATCTTTTGTCCACCCACCCACCCGACCTGCGGCCTGTTTGGGCTGTTTTGGGGGCAGCGGGGCCCAAATTCAATTTGGACCCTCGGGCTACTGCATGAGGGCCGTACACCCTACTTTTTCCTCGTGGCGGCTTGACCGAGAGGTTCGGCTATCTATCTGAACGGGACGAAACTATTTACGTCATTAAAGGCTTCAGCTAGGGCTTCGGCTTAGGTTTAGGCTTAAACTTAGGCTTAGGTGCGGGCTTAGGCTTAGGAGCGGCGAATGGAAATCCCGGCTTGAAAAGCGATCAACGTATGCTTTTGGGAGCCTTTTTAAGAAGGAAGCGCGTCGATAATCCCGACCCGATGCAAATTCCCGAGAGGCCAAATGTGATATTTCCGGTCGTTTTACCCATAAATGGCTTTAGAATCTGGGGTTTCTGCCTGTCGGGGATTTTGGCTGTCGGGAGCTTGATGTCGGCGTTTTCCCGGTGAGAAACTCTTGGGTACAGTGCGCTTTCTACGATTTTTAAGAGCTTAATCAAAATGTATGTAGCAATTTGAATTTTGGTTATCGACTTACTTTGTATAAACGATATGGTGATGAGGAGTGGCGGCGGGAGGAAAAACCGCATGGCATTAGAATTTTGGTGTGCCGGATGATCTTAGCCGGGGGCCGGGTTTCGAGGATACCCTTGCCGGTCCGGTAATTGAAAGGTCGGGTGGAACCCCGGAAAATAATAGGTGAAAGTGCTGTGGGAGGTCGGGGCAGAGGAGGGCCCTCGACGGCAGATACTTGGGCCCTAAGGGAGTGAGGGAGGGAGGGATGGCACAGGAAATGATGTTTAGGCCCCCAAGAAGCCGCCTTCCCCCTCCAGGCCACCACCGCCACCGCATATGGCGCCAAATTTTAGCTAGGTGTACGCAAGGGTTGTGGATAGTGCAAATGGGCTTTCTTTCAAAATGTCGAAAATCATATCGCCGAAAGTTCAAAACGTCGAAATTCAGAATGTCGAAATTCAGAATGTAGAAATTTACATAAGCTAGTTTTCCAGGAAAGCCCCCGAATTGTATACAAAAAAATTTCGAGATTCTGCATTTCAAACTATGAAATATGAACATTATGCAATTTCCAGACAAATTCCAGACTTTCCTGCATCCATTAAAGGGATAAGGAAGGCGGGGGAGCAGAGAAGGGATTTATGCTAATTTGGTAACTAAAGCCATTTTATGCTAATTTTTCTTGGACCTTCCATGATCTCTTTAACAAAAAACAGGCTTCTTCTTACAGAAACTAGCCATTTTAGGGAAAAGGCCAAAATGCAGACACCCAAAACGCAGAATGCTAAAACGCAGACAGCCAAAACGCAGACAGCCAAAACGCAGACACTGAATATGCAGACACCGAATATGCAGACACCTGATTCTGCTAATTCGACAGCGATGACAACTTTCGCATATCTTCGCATCATCCCAAAATCTCAAATCCTCAAACATCCCAAAAATGATCTTCTCCTGTGCTTGTACCAGCAGTTGTATTTCGGATGGGAAGAATAAAGTGTTGAGTTATGAGATGGTTTTGGCTTTGCATATTCAGTGGTGTCAACATATTCATTGTCAGCATATTCAGTGTCTGCGTTTTGGCTGTCTGCGTTTTGGCTGTCTGCGTTTTGGCTGTCTACGTTTTGGCTGTCTGCGTTTTGGCTGTCTGCGTTTTGGCTGTCTGCGTTTTGGCTGTCTGCATTTTGTCCTGTCTGCGTTTTGGCTGTCTGCGTTTCGGCTGTCTGCGTTTTAGCATTCTGCGTTTTGGGTTTCTGCGTTTTGGCTGGAAATCAGCCATTTTAGCATCTTTGGAAAACTCCCCAAATCTTACAGTCGGTTTGGATGCCGCCCGCGATGTCTGGAAGCCGCTCCTGCTTTCCATACGTGTATTCCAGCCGGAATCCACTGTTCTGAAACGACGCATCTTGTTTTCGATTGCAACGCCTCGTCAGAGGTCTGACGTATCGTAGCGTATCGTATCGTACTCAGACGTAAGAGTATACCCTACCCTGACGTTTTTCGGTCCCGAATAGAAGTGCAGCAAGACCGAATAGGAAGAGTGGATGAATAGAGAATCTGATAGATGACTTTCGCGGCTTACGAACACCTTCTGAAAATGGGAATTCGGCTGTACAATTGTGAATTTGCACGTTCTAGACTGTTAGCGGGGGAGGCCAAATTGTTCACTGTGATTCTTTACGACACTTTAACAAAATATAAACCATTTTTATAGGATTTAAGATAATTTTTCGCAATAAAACAATCTAAAAAAAAAATAATAATTTTCGAAAATGATCCACTTTTTCATAAATTTGGTAAAATGGCATGAAAAGTTACCAAAAAACGGCTAAATTTTTCGAATTTCAACATTATTAAAAATTTTTTGATCTCTTTCTAGCAACCAAAAACGACGGAAAAAACTATAAAAGTACATAATACATCATCGACAGGTAGGCATAGGCGGAAAAACAGAAAGTGGTCCCCCCGCTAACAGTCCAGATCCATTATGCCCAACCTCGAAAAACTTGATTTAGCATAAATACCGTCATCCCACTACCCCAACTAAATTTTTCACGGACCTGGGGGCGCAACTCGTAGACATCGATCGTGCCTAGTTCGGCGAGCTTCAGTTCAGCTGAGGCGAGAGTGAGACCGAGTCCGCGACGCTCCGGGAACAGATACGAACAATTTGCGCGAGCCGGCGGATGGTAAGGATATCTGCAGCACGCGTTTCACGCATTCCAAACTCCGTACCTCGGCGAAAAAACGACACCTCGCTCGCGTTCGACGCGAAAGGCACACTCGGCGGTTTGCAGCGCATCGCTGGTCAGGTTTGCTGAGATAGTAAGTTGCCGAAAATAAGGCATTAACCCAATCTTTGACCTCAATGCTTAGGCTTAGGCTTTCCGTTCACTTCCGGCATCCCGTATCGCAAACAGAAACAAATTCCTTACCCCTTGGAACAAACTCGTAGTCGCCCGTGAAGCCGCCCGACAAAGCTGCAGTCTTGATGGAGAAGACGTAATGCCGGGCGACCGAGTAGAAGACGGCCCCTAAAAAGCCTCTGCACGGTAGATGCAGGCGGCTCACCACTCTGGATTTCCTTGCCGCAGAAGGTGGCGTCGGGCTGCTGCTGCGAATCGATGAAACCGTTGTTTGTCGATTCCCAAACAGCTAACGAAGAGGGGCATCTGGAAAGAAGCTTAGGCTAGGCTTAGACTTAGGCTTGGGCTTAGGCTTAGGCTTAAGCTTAGGCTTAGGCTTAGGCTTAGGCTTAGGCTTAGGCTGGGCTTAGACTTGGCTTAGGCTTGGCTTAGGCTTAGGATTAGGCTTAGGCTAGGTAACTCAAACCTTTAGAAAATTGAGTTTTCACTATTTTCGAGCCGCTCTGCAGGTTCCTACTTGCGAAACCCGAATTTTGTCTCGATTTATCGGGTTCGCGAGGTCGTCCGGAACGATGTACCCCCTTTCTCATCGTGCTTCACACGCAATGCCGCCATTCAAAAGCCCCAGGCTCTTCTAATACAAAATGAAAAATGGCTGAACGAAAGAAAGCGGCGAATGTGGGTGAATGCCAGACTTACCTCCCTTCGCTTCGCGGTGGCAGCGCGAAATAATCAAATGTTAGTCGAACGATGTGCTTTGGTGGTGCCTGAAAGATGAGTGAAAATTTGGTTCTGGTTCGTTTGCGGGGGGGAACTCAATTGGTCCCCAATTAGGCTGCTTAGGGTTAGGGTTCAAGCTTAGGCGTACGTTTAGCCTTAGGCTTAGGCTTAGACTTAGGCTTAAGCTTAAGCTGAGGCTTGGTTTATGCTTATGCTTGTGCTTAGATTTCGGGAGTATATAATTTGTAGTATAATTCGCCGCCTACCACAAAATGGTAGCTTAGGCAGCCGGTGGGTGGCAACTTCTTCGGGTAGTCGGGTGAATGGAATCTAAAAATTTCGAAGTTATGAAATTTCGACATTATGATAGCAAATGCTTTGGTTGACCCGCTTGAAAGCCAGCCGTTCCCACCTGCCGGTGTGGTTGAAACGGATACATGGGCAGTGGTCGTGGACGAGGGTCGCTTGCGGCATCGGGTGTCCGGCCACGAGCAACAACACCGCCGCCACCCATTCCCATCCGGTCATGCCATTTGTGATGGGTGTGTCCTTGGCTAGTTTTAGTCTGAAAACGGTGGTTTGCTCTCATAAGGCCGAAAATGATGATGCGGAAAATCAAAATGTCGTCATTTTTTAATACGAAATTCAGGATATCTGCATTTTTTGCATCGGGTTCCGGCGTTTTCTGCGAAAATTAGCTTATGTAAAACTTATTTTATGGGGACGAAACCCGAAATCGGTGAATAGTTTGCAATCCAGCCGCCTGGGCGGCTATTCGATTAGTTGGAGGGGCGCGAAAAAGAACCTACGTCTGCTTTTAGAAGCTGTAGGAGTGGGTGGAGATGGCCCCAAAGCCGCCGAAACCTAATCGCCACCCAACCAGAGCAGAATTTCGCTTTTGAAAACCAAGCTCAGAAGGGTACCACTGCAAGAGAATTAAAAGGGTACGTTTCGCAATGGGACCCAGCTTTTCTACTGCATACCAAATTTTTCGAAGTTCAAGGCCGACTATCTTGATTTTTCCGGCTGGTTTTCCAACAACAAATATCGCCATCGTGTTGACAAAATTTTCTCTATTAGGCTACTCAAATTTAGTATGGGAACTGGCCGTTTAAATAGTGTCTTTAGCAATATATAACTTTATTACAACTAGAAACGCCATCTAAAACAAAACGTCGAAATTTTGGTAAAAAACGGCCATTTTCGGTCGAAAAATCGATAATTTTGAATAAAAGTTTGTAAAGTTTTTCGCGTTTAGGCATAGTAAAAACCATTTATAAATACTTCCACTAATTATCAGCAAAAAAATTAGATCCTAAGGGAAAAGTGATCCCCCCGATAATGCGAAAGAACAGAAGAACTAAAAATCTAAAAAATCATTCGAACTTGAAGATACAAAATAACTCGTTCCGAATCTATCGAATTGATAAATTGATGAATCCTCGGCGAGCGGCTGCCGCTCAAGTTTTCAAGCATGAAGCGTACTACTAGGCTAGACCCCGCCCAACACTGCCTTGATTGCAAGGTGAGAGCGCCACGGGGAGGGGGATTTGATGGTCGTCCTTTAGCAGCAGGATTCCCTGGCTGCCGGAAAGACGTCGAAAGTAAGGGCACGAAATAGGAAAGAAGAAGCTGGGGGGAAACGGAAAGGGAAGGGGGTAATCCCTGGCCACCGGGAGGGATGGGCCTCCTCCCCCCTCAATGGCCTATGATGAACCAGGGCCCCTTGACCCGAAAACGGGCCCTAAAACCTCCACTCGGGTGGTACCACACGCACTTTATGCCCCCCCCCCCGCTTACAAATTGGCTTAGACCTCAAGGAAAAAGTCTGGACCAGTCTCTCGGGGTTAAGTCATCGCTAATGGCTGGTTGAAAGGCTGCAGGGGAAGCTATCTCAGGCTCATGGTCGTGTATATAATCCCTTGGCCAGTTTTTCGCTTAAACTGCTGCACCAGATGTTCAGCATCGACACGCTCGTTTGACGATCC